GCAGACTTGAGGTTCTGTTACAGCTTTATTTAAAGTTATGGGTTTTATTCCCTTAGGGAAGAAGGAAATTTTTCAGAAAACAAACTCCTTAAGGATAATGTCCATATAAATGACATTCTTCTCTGTTTGTGCTCTTAATTGCATGGATACACTTTGTGGATACTCCTGATTTATACTGGTAACACAGGGCCAGCTGACTTTCAGGTTGGGACACGTTCTCTGAGGGTACAGTTCAGGTCAAAAAAAGTGTTTTTAGGGGACAGGGACTGGGACCAGACCTAAGAAAACTGCCTTCTGCTCTTGATTTGCCCCTGGTTTCTGGGAGGAATTGAGAAATGGTGAGGAATGTGAACTGCTCTGAGAGCTGCCCATGAAAAGTGTTACAAAATGTGACTTGCAGAGCCACTCACCCCCTTTTCTTGCTTAATTAGAAGGTGCAAACTCCTGTGCCCAGACGATGTCTCAACATTACCCCGACTGCAGCAGCTATTTTGCTCTGCTGCTGCTGAAGCCTTACTGGCACATCTAACGCACAACAAAGCCTTTAAATGAGGGACCAAACTTGCCCGTTCTTGCAGGAAGCTGAAAACATCTATGATTTCCTTCATTACCACAAGTAACCTTTGCAGCTTCGGGACTAGCTCTCCTGCAAAACATTTTAAACAATCACAGCCGCAGTATGAGAAATAAGGACTTTGCAAGGCTGATGTGTGAAATTAAAGTGTTCTTTCTGGAGATGGTCCTATGGGGTCACCAGGAAATCCTCCCCCTCATGCCTGCAGGCACAGGGTGGGGTGGTGGCGGGCTGTGGGCAGACACCAGTGATGGGAGAAGGCAGAGATGGGCAGGGGGTCGCTGGCTGGGCAGGGGACAGGGGATGGGGAGAGCTGGACCAGGCTGGGATGGGGACAGGGGACAGCTGGCATAGCCCAGGCTGGAGACAGGGAATGGGGACAGCCCAACCAGGCTGCGCTGGGGACAGAGGATGGCTGGATGAGGCTGGGCATGGGACAGAAGATGGGGACAGCTGGGCCAGGCTGGGATGGGGACGGGAGATGGGGACAGCTGGACCAGGCTGGGATGGGAACAGGGGACAGCTGGACCAGGCTGGGATGGGGACAGGAGATGGGGACAGCTGGAACCAGGCTGGGATGGGGACGGGAGATGGGGAGAGCTGGACCAGGCTGGGATGGGGACAGGGGACAGCTGGTATAGCCCAGGCTGGAGACAGTGGCTGGGGACAGCCACACGGGGTCGGGTTGAGGACGGGAAATGGGAACAGCCGGACCAGGCTGGGCAGGGGACGG